CGGAGGGCTGGGAGACTCACCTGGAGCGTCTACGGAGGGTGTTGACAGAGCTCCGGCGGGCTGGCCTGACTGCCAACCCCAAGAAGTGCCACCTCGGCCTCACCGAAGCAAAATACCTGGGGTACAAAATTGGAAGAGGGCTCATCATGCCCCAGGAAAAGAAGGTCGAGGCGGTAAAGAAGTTCCCACGTCCCGTCAACAAGACGCAGGTACGGGCATTTTTGGGGTTGGCGGGCTACTACCGATGTTTCATTCCTAACTTCTCCTCTATAGCCTGCTCCCTGTCAGACCTTACCAGGAAGGGGCAGCCGGAGAGGATAGACTGGACTCCCGAGACCGAAGCCGCCTTCCAGGCCCTCAAGACCGCCCTGACGTCCTCCCCGGTCCTGCATGCCCCTTCTTACCTTCTTTCTTCCTTGGATGCTTTGTACCATGGTGCTCTGAGATTTATTACTGATTGTAAATTTTCAACTCATCATTGTGATTTATATGAAAGAGTTGCATGGCCTTCCTTGAGAATACGGAGAAAAATGCACTGGCATTTGTTGATATATAAGGCAATTTTGGGTTATTTGCCAAAGTATCTCTGTTGTTTTATACAAAGGACTTTAATTGGAAATCATTCATTGCGTTCTCAGTCAATTTACAATCTCTGTATACCTTTTGTTAGAACTGAGCTTGGTAAAACCTCTTTTAAATATGCTGCAGCCTCAGATTGGAATCTTCTTCAAAAGGAGATGAAGTTACAAAACTTGGTGTCTTATAATTATTTTAAGTCTTTATTATGTAATCTTGAGAGCAACTTAATGGTGTGTAATTGTTTTTAACTGGTTATGTGTTGGTTTTGTAATGTATGTTGTAACTACGTTGTTTATTTGTATATGCAAACTCGGCTGCCTATCTTGGCCAGGACACTCCTGGAAAAGAGATTTTAATCTCAGTTAGTCTCTTCCTGGTTAAATAAATAAATGAAATGAAAAATGAACTAATTTAACATGTTTGCATACACTACTGTTCAAAAGTTTGTTTGGTAAGATTTTTTAAGATGTTTTAAAAGAAGTCTCTTATGTTCACCAATGCTGCATTTATTTGAATAAAAATACAGTAAGAACCGTAATATTTTGAAATATTATTTCAGTTTTCAATTTTAATATTTTTAAAATGTAGTTAATTCTTGTGATGGCAAAACTGAATTTTCAGCATCATTACTCCAGTTAGTGTTGTCAAAAGACCCGGTACTTCGGTACCAAGTCGGTACTAAAAAAATGAAAACGTTACGGTACCAGGTTTTTTTAAGTACTGGTGGTACCAAGTACCCGGTCAACTCGGTTCTTGTGAGGAAACACATCAAACTAACAAAACACTTTAAAGACAGACACCCGGATCAAATTAAAGAGTTCAAGCAGGTAAGTTTAATTTTCAATATTTAGATCTTCTCAGTGTGAGGTCGTGGTTAGAACGCTTCGTTGAGTGCATCAGACAAGACGACGAAGAAGTGCTGCTGTAGCATCAAGTTTTCACAAGTTATTACACATGCACCTGAATAATTATGTATGTTAATATGTATGTTACAATTATGAAAACGTTTTTATAATAAATTGCTGACAGTACAATACTGGACAATTATTTAATCTGCAGAATTTACGCTTCAATTATGAGACTACAGTGTTTCCCATACCTTGAGTGCGGGTGTTTTTATATCACTGTATTTCTGAAGGAAACCGACTGTCTTCAGAAAATTATGGATGTCATTTTCATTTAAAGCAGCGTTTGTTAGCGCAGCGCTTATTTGATTACAGCCGTTACCGGGGAAACCTCTATCTCTCCCGCTCTACAAGCGCCTCCTGCTGGCAGAGAATGAATTTGCATATACATGCCACCACAAATAGAGTACAAGTCTGTGGGAAACACCGCTTCTGTTATGAATATTATTCAATATTTTAATTTGAATGTCGGATTGAAATGAACATTGCTGTTATTGGAGTAGTTACTCGTTAGCATAAGCGCAGCTAACGCTAATATAATGAGCATTAGAATGAAGTTTCTTTAATAACTATGTAATGCTCCTATAACTTTTATTAGGGTAAAAAAACAGGAGGACATGATGATATTTACTATTTTTACACACCAGATGCTTTTAAATGAATTGTGAATCTAAAATATGTGTGTTAGAGACTGTACAAATGGTTAACATTGTTTGTGTCATATCAGTCAGAAAAGCAGCTCTGGCCTTTTTTTTTTTTAGCTAACTTGGTTAGTTGTTATTCTTGGCTGAATAACTCTAGAAAGTTTTAAACGCCCTTTATAATTAAATATGTACACAGTTTGGATTAAATGAAAGTATAGTCAAATTTTTTAATTAGCATGTTTTTGTGTTTTTGCTTTGGTACCGAAATTGGTACCGAGAACCGTGGATTTTCACTGGTATTGGTGCTGAATACTGAAATTTTGGTACCGTGACAACACTAGTTATACCGGTATATCGTTACAACCCTAGATGTGACAACAATATGTAATGGGGGCAGGGTATTTAGCAATCTAACAATAAACTTTATTATCCAAAATGAGCCTGACATAAGTGCAATTAACAGTAAACTTCACATCACTTATTATAAATAACTTTAAAACACAAATAGAACACACACACACACATATATATATATATATATATATACAGTCAAAGGTGATTAAACACTTATAATGATGTGACAAACATAGGCCTATGTAGTGGAGGCAGGGTATTTAACAATTTAACAAACTTTATTATTCAAAATGAGTCTGACATCAGTGCACTTAACAGTAAACTTCACTTATTATAAATAACTTAACACAAATAGAACAAAATATATATACAGTAACTGGAATTAAGATATTAAACAAGGTAACTGTGTAGGGCAAGCAAGCTACTGCCAAATCAACAGGGGCAGGTTTATGCAGGAAGCACATCTTTTCCAAATGTAAACATCTAAAATGAATAAATAATAAAAATTAATAATATTTTTTTCCCCAAATTCTGTGTTGTGTATTTTCTGGTAATCAAACGAACATGCAGAACATGACGATTCATATTTAAATAGTCGTTTTACGGTTTAATATTCACAGACACTAGTCTATATCGCGATTTGATTTAAGTGTACTGACCTGTTTTTTTATTTATTCATCAAAAATAAGACAAATTCCATGAAATTCCGCGTTATACAGTAAATTCAATAATAACAATGAAGATTTTTTTTTTTTTTCACAAATTCTGTGTTGTGTATTTCCCGGTAATCAAATTAACATGCAGAACATGAGGATTTGTATTTAAATAGTCTTTTGTAGTTTAATATTCACAGACACTAGTCTATATCGCAATTTGATTTAAGTGTACTGACCTGTTTTTTTATTTATTCATCAAATATATGACAGAATCCGTGAAAATCCACGTTATACAGTAAATTCAGTTTTTATGACTGGATTCTGTGCTTCCGTCCATGCTTTCTGCATCACGGAAATCATAGGGCCCTACTAATGTAGCAAACGAATATGAAAAGTTAATTGTGAGAGTAAAAGACGGGGACATTGTTGTTTATTTACTGAGCATTGAGTCTCTCCAACTAGGTGACAACGAAGTGTTAAATCACCATTCAACAGAATCAAGCCACCGTCTATTGGACTGCAGAAAGATACTAACTAGGGATGTTCATTTCGGTTATTTTTCCTAACCGACAACCAACGCTCATTAACCGATTGTTAACCGTTAACTGACAAGATTATTTTAAATTAGAATTGAATTAAATTAGAAAGGATAAGTGTCTGTGACCCGTGAAAAAAATACTAACATTTGTTTTCCGGGGATTAATAAAAAAAATTTTAAAAAAAAAGCAGCAAACAGGATTCACATGGTCATATATCATATCACGCACCTGCAGCGCTTCTGCCAGTGGAGAAAAACATAAAGCTAGGCTATAATATATATATATATATATATATCTTTATAAGCCTATTTATTCATTATATATACGAATAAATAGGCCTATACGAGAAACATTTTGACTTAAATAATAAATGAAGAAAATGAAAGAAAAACAAGTAGCCTAGTATGCAAAGTTTCAGTTCATTTTTGTGCTGCGCTAAAGATAAAATACAGTCAGTCAAACATATGGAAAAAAAACCTATGTAGTAAAAAAAAAAAATGTAATAAAATCTGTCTCATATTGACATCATTTTGTCATGATGTTTCTCCTCCACTTCACTCAGTTCTTTACTCTCCTCGTTCTTTTTGACCCGTGAAAAAAATACTAACATTTGTTTTCCGGGGATTAATAAAAAAAATTTTAAAAAAAAAGCAGCAAACAGGATTCACATGGTCATATATCATATCACGCACCTGCAGCGCTTCTGCCAGTGGAGAAAAACATAAAGCTAGGCTATAATATATATATATATATATATATCTTTATAAGCCTATTTATTCATTATATATACGAATAAATAGGCCTATACGAGAAACATTTTGACTTAAATAATAAATGAAGAAAATGAAAGAAAAACAAGTAGCCTAGTATGCAAAGTTTCAGTTCATTTTTGTGCTGCGCTAAAGAAAACAGATGACAGAAAGCGGCATCCTATTTTTCTTTAAGCTTATTTTACAAAAGCACAAAGATTTGTTTTTATTGTGAATGTACACAAATAAAGGCAAACCTTTTACAATTCCGATTATCTTTAGGACTAAAAGGAGTAGTTGCTTCCACTGTTAGAAGGAAAAAATTCAAGTGATTGCGCCGGCGCCGCATGCGCGCACACAGTTGAGCATTGCTACCTTGACAATGCAGCCTGTTCATTATCATAATAAAATACAGTCAGTCAAACATATGGAAAAAAAACCTATGTAGTAAAAAAAAAATATGTAATAAAATCTCTCATATTGACATCATTTTGTCATGATGTTCCTCCTCCACTTCACTCAGTTCTTTACTCTCCTCGTTCTTTTCCATCAGCTCTGAAATAAAAAAGTTACATTTCATTTTCAGTACATCAAAATAATTAAAAAACAGGAACACATAAAAGCCCTGCTGTAACAAAGCAGACAACTGCTATAAAATATAAAAATTTTGTATACATTTTTATAAATATTTTTATATAAATTATACATCCCTGCAACTTTCCATGTACACTGATCTTTAAGTATTATTTTTTAAAACATTATAGACAGATCCCATGTTTCTGTAGTGAGAATTATTAAATATATTTGATCTAAGACACGATTATCTAACGTGATATTAACAATAAAATAAATATTACCTTCATATTTTGTCACCAAATTTTAGATCGATATTTAATTTATTTTACTAAAAACATTTTAATTATTAAGGGTCAGTGACAGTAGACTTTTCTGACTTCCATGTATACGCATGTAAATATGGGACACCAGAAACACAAACTAAAGTGAATTTCGCTGTGAAAAAGAACTAGGGATGCCCTGAAATTTCGGCCGATAATTTTAATGGCATTTTCAGTTTTCAGCTGAGAAACAAAAATGGCCGAAAAAAATGAGCTAAAAATAATGGTGCACTGCACCGCCCAGCAGTGTTCAGCGCACAGGTTTCACTCTCCCTCTAGCCGTCATCACTGTGTGTTACTTTCAATAAAAGTGTGGTTATTTTTAGGGCTGGGTAAAAAATATCGATATCTCAATTTTAATCGATTCTCATTTTTACTAAACAATATTGATTCTTAAATCCCAAGAATCGATTAGTCTAGCCTTCTTTCAGTTAATGGACGGAACATTGAAGGGCACTTCCCATTCAATAAATCGCAATAAGCATTGTGCGTTGGTACTTTTAATATGAAACAAAGTCTCAGATTTCATTTTATGTCCATTGTATTGCAGTATTCAAACAATAAGTGCAGTTTTGGCAGTTTAATCAGGAGTGACAGATTGCTGTAGCGCCTCAGTTCAACAGACAGACAGACAGTTCAACAGAGCGTAGCGCACGTGAATTGATCATCTCCTCCACATTAATACCAGTTTCAGCACAAAATAAACATGACTAAACATCCGAAGGTAAGCTAAAAGAAAGAGTACAACTTTACAATCCGTATCCTGTCCAATGTAATCGCTCAATCAGTGTTTCAGCCGTGCAAAGACGTCAATATAACAGCTTGTAAACAATTCATGTGACATTACATTTACCTCTGAAAGCATATTTGGTGACCATAAACTCATTAGTCAGCCAGAAAAATAAACTGTAGAGAGGAGCATTTTGCTAAATATATGCACCATTTAACATCCATTATAATGTTTTACTGTTCTTTACTGTTTTATTTATGTTTGATTAAATCCATCCAAGTTTTTATGACAGCCACTATTTAAATGTGTATATTAAAAAAAATGAGTAATTGTAACTTATTATAAAAACTTTAAGTGCAATTTAAGCAGTTGTACAGCACAAATCAGTCAATTGTAATCTTCAGTATTATAATGTAGTACCAACTGACTCTCATGTATGTTTTACAGCATTAGCTGAGAGAGATTTTTTTTTTCCTTAAGAAAATTTGGTATGTACTGTACCTGATATGTATCCAAAATAATATTGAATCGAATCGGTAATCGAAAGCTTGTGAATGAGATTCTAATCGAATCGTGAAATTTGTGTCAAAACCCAGCCCTAGTTATTTTATTGGCTTGTATATTTTAAATTCAGTATCATTCAAATTAAGTTAAATTAGGACTTTCAAAATTATTTTATGTAATAAAGTAATAAATAATTATTGAAAAGCTGTTTCGGTTTTCGGCCAAGTGCATTCAGCATTTTCATTTCATTTTTTGTTCAATGTTTAATTCATGGTTGAATAAATCAGTCAAGTTTTTTCGACAGCCACCATTTAAAAAAAAAAAATGTAAAAATGAATTAGAGTAGAGATATAATTATGTAATTGTAATTTTATTATTATAAAATCTTCATTGAGTGTAATTTAAATGCTTGCAATCAAATCAGTTAATTTGAACCTTCAGTATAGTAATGT